TTTACTATATCTTAGTGATTTATGTTGCTAACAAGCGCTAACATTCTTCGTTTCTAAATAAAGTGATGAAGTGAAATTTGGGTAAAAATAAATGATAAAGTGTAAGTACGTACGATGATAGACATGAACTTCTGTTTTTATAATAGATTTGATCATTCCCCCTCCTGGAACTGTCACTCAGGAACCTAAATCCTATGTTTTTGTTTGTTTTTCTCCCAGTTTCAGTGTTTATGTTATTACTAAACGTGTGTATTTTCCTTTTTCTCATCCAGGAGTGGACAGCCAAGGCAAACTTCACACATCACGCCCACACAGCATCCATATCAGCTGTGGCAGCCAGTGAGAGGTTTGTTGTCACCGGTAGCAAAGATGAGACCATACAGCTGTACGACATGAAGAAGAGGAGTGAACACGGAGCTCTGCTGCATCATGACGGTGAGTCTGTTCTGTAGATCTTCTGTCTGACATCCAGTCATTATTATGGACTTAATGGGAAATACAGAAGCAGTAACTGTGGCTCTGAAGATTTATGGTGTTATCCCCACAAAGGTTTTCCTTTCTTACTAAGATGGACTCCTTTCCATGATTATGTATGATGTAGAATATCTAATATATTATGGCAGGTACTTCCGAGGCTGGAGGAATGAGGGATGAATGTGGAGGGGAGATTTTGTCGTTATTTTACCTCCCTGTTTTTTATGATATATGCCACCATGCTTGTGAACTGAAGGCTGTACTGTGCTGTGTACAGAATTTTGGAGGGACTGTGTTAAAGCAGGGGATTTTTTATATAAAAGACATCATTTATGAGGAAAGATGTGTTCAAAAAAGAAACTATTACAATATAGAAATGTAACTTGAGAGAAAAAGTGTCATTCTTGAACGTTTTCTGAAGTGAAAAGAGCTCATTTTAAAGTCACAATAAAACAGAAATAATTACTCATCTTGTCCTCCATTACCTAAGAACTGAGTTGGCTGGTTGTTGTGGTATTTAGTGTTTTTAGGGAAGAGTAATCTTGTTATTTATTCATTTATTTTTTGTTGGAATCAACTTACTTTCCACCTTTTCTCCCATTAATTTAAAACTAGGTTCTCCTGACCTCTTTCTTCCTGTAGCAAACTGATTTCTGCCTCCATGATTTGCAATTTGACATTTTTTAAACTTCTTTTTTTACTAGTTGTGAAATGTATAAAAGATTTTAAAGACATTATCTTCTGCTTCTGCACACCTGACTCAAACCTTCGCCGTGTCGCTCAGGCACCATCACCAGCCTGGAGTTTTACGGGTCGTCTCATTTACTGAGCGGAGGAGACGATGGACTGTTATGTGTGTGGAGCACGAAGAAGTGGGAGTGTCTGAAATCCATCAGAGCTCACAAGTAAGCACACACTCTCACACACACACACAGTGTTGAATTCTCACCAGTGAGGAAGTTGACGGTGATCCAGGCAGAAATCCCTGAACGGAAAAACACAAGTTTTAGCTTTAAGTTATAATGAAGATGATGATGATGATGAAGATGATGAAGCAGCTGGACCGTTAGCTTTATACAGCTACGTCACTTGTTGTGGGCTAACATCAAAATATATAAGTTAATATCATGGATCACGTTCTGGACTCTGATCCGGACTCTGATCCGGACTCTGATCCGGACTCTGATCCGGACTCTGATCCGGACTCTGTGTTGAGGTGTCGACTGTTTGTTACACAGAAACATGTATAAAGTGTCTTGAAGGACTTTAAGGTGAAGCAGATCTGGAACATCAATCCAACATGAAGATCTCCAGTGATACGCTGAGAGCTCGCCGAGGATCGGCTCATCCAGGTCAACTCAAAGACGACATTAGTGTGTGTGCCACTCAGCTGCATGCATTAGTGCCTTTTACCAGCGACCTCTGACCTCTGCCGCATGCAGAAGTGGGTGATTAAAGGGTCTGATAGAAAGTGTATCATAGGAGCTTTACTGTAAAACTCTTATACAGACACTAAGAAGCAATTTCCAAACAAAACAAACAGCGGAGAGGACTCGGCTTTAGGTCGGGAAGCTAAACACCGGCACTTAGCACCCTGCCCCCCCCACTGACCACTCACAGATCTGCATTAACAATAAGTCGCCTCCATTCGGGACGGTCGGGGGGGTAATCTGAGGGATGGATGAGCATCCAGACCAAGAATATGTGTGCGGTAATAAGGCTGATGGAAGGAGGAATGTGTCCATTAGCGGCTCGCTGACGGGAGTTCATTCAGTAGCCATCATCAGAGGGAAGGAGAAAACATTTCAGCCTCAGGAATCAACTGAGAGGGAGGGAGGGGGGAGATAATCGGCCTCCCTCCCTCCCTCAAGATTAAGTGGGACATTATCCCACATGGCCATAATTGCTTGTATGAACTACTTTAAAAGGATTGGATTATATGTGCACGAGCGTGGTGTGCATACACGGCGAGCGTTTCAAACACGGCAGCTACATGTGATTCCTTCACACAGCGAGCTCATTGTCACTGCTAACCGAGTTCACAGCAGGGACAACAACAGCGTCCAACATCTGGACCTGTGAGCAGCCCGACCTCAGACCACAGGTTCACTGCTCCAATAAAGAAACCTCACATTTATTTCAGTCTGCACTCGAGGAACGTGAAGTTTTGGGCTGATGGGTAATATACACTCAGGTTAGGGTCAGGGACAGCGTTTCCCGTTTCACTGCCAAACGCCAATTTTCAACTCCACGCCGTGGGCACGCCATAAGACGAACGTATTTAGAGTGCAGTGAGCAGCTGATCCGATCGAAATGGTTGGGAGAGGCTCTTTTGTACGTCTCAATAAGATACACGTGTCTAACTATCTTCATGTCTGTCGGTTAAACACGACGCCAGGCAGACTGTCATGGTGAAATGTTGATTTTCGACGCCACGCCACAGACACGCTGACAGACGAAACCACATGATTTTGTTTTCATTATGAACGTCTGTAGAGTGCAGCGACCCAATCTGATGTCGATCCGATCATTTCTGTAGGAGGAATCCCTTAAACACCTGGAACGGAAAGAAAACTGTGGCGATATTGCACATGAATTAAAAAAGGCAGACTTCCTGTTGGGTTTGGGGAATGACTCCGAGAGGTTTTAGTTTAGTAAAGACCTGAAGAGAACTGATGATCCTGGTTCTCCACCAGTGTTTGTCCACCA